AGCCTGCAAGTGAAGTCTCTTTTTCACTGGGCTAGAGCCAGTTAGTAAACATAAGAGCACTATTAATTAGACTTAAAAGAAGAAGTAGGATCATTTCTTCCCAAATTTCAAAAGGATTTTGTGACCTACGCTAAATTTCCTATGAAAAAAATGAGTTGAATCTTTAGTTTGTAATTTTTAAAGTAACATATATATGCTTCTCTCTCTCCTTCACCCCTCTCTTCTAACAAGAACTTTCCCTCTTGCTTCTCTCTCTTTCTCTTCTAAAAAGAAAGAAAAATAATAATAATAAAAACTTCTATAGGATTATAAACATCAACTGTCCCCACATGCATGTTCGTAAGAACAAGATAAGCTTATTGACCTTGATTCAGACATAAAAGGACAAACCCACCTAGGATTCGATCCCATAAACATTGAATAATTTATTAATCGATTCGAACAAGGTTCATAATCCTATGCTTTTATGCATGAGGAATAATTTCTATATGCAACAGCAGATAGAGTTTGAGTATTCATCTACATCGAAACAAATTAAGACCTGGGTTTCATCGTGGTGTCCTGATTAATTTTTTCATAAAAAAGTCTTCTCTTAACTCTAATAGCTCAAATGGGCATCGGTTTTTGGATTTTCCTACTAAATTACTAGAATTATGGACCCCATGCCCATGCACGTATATGATGAAGAGAGTACGTAAGAGAGAGACTTGCACGCAGGAAAGGGCTCGACATTAGCAATTTATTTTTTGTTGAAGTTGTATATTACTATATAAACCAACAAATAAAAATATTTCATTTGATGCATCATACTTACTAATCATGCGTATTGTTGGCCACTTAATTATCTTATTATAGCAAAACTCGCTCGTATAGTAGGTCGAGAAATGTGATTAGGTTCAACGCGGTCATCAAATTTGGAACGAGATTGATGTTAAAAAAAGATTTCGAGATGAAATTATGTGGCACCTCTCATATGTTTATGAAAAATTGACAATGAAAATACATGTAGCATTTGAACTATATATTAGTTTTTGTGTGATCTTTTTGTTCCATAAATGCAACCAGTTATATATATTTGTCTCGATAAATTTTAACACTGTTTTTTAATAAACACGAACAGTAATAAGTTGAATAAAACGACAAATTTGAATTCATATATTACAGAAAGTTTTCAGGCCTTACAACTCTACCTAATTATCTAAAAATATATATTTATACAGAATTAAAAATAATTTATGTCGGACATTGATCATGAAGTTTTGGGAGAGGCTAGAGAGTGAGACGACGCTCAAACCACAAGTAGAAACAAGGAGACTTTTAATGGCAGAAAGATACAGTTTTAGTGTTTATTTTGGTGGCATTACTATGCTTTGCACAAGCGAGAGAGGACACGTGGAAAGCTTCTCCATGAAGCTTGGTTCGTGGAAAACTATGTTGTGGAAGGCAAGAAGTGTTCAGAGCATCTTTTTGTTAATCCAATATTGAAGATTTGGAACAATTAAAGACAATGTTGCATGCATTGACAATCTGATTTGTCACAATCTGAGTCCGGCCAGTGTCCAGCCAATTTGGAGCACCATTGCGTTGAAAACAGATGGGAAATGGTGTTTTTACCGCCGTTGAAATCTTTATTAATTCCAAGCAACAATGCAAAACAAAATTCATAATAAATTATTAAAATTTTCTGGTAAATATTTAATTAACTATCAACATTGATTTGGCCAATGAGATGTTTTATTTAATTAATGTAACTAATACAAAGTTGTAAAGGTTGCTCTCTCGTACACGAGGAGAGCTGTCACGTCAAAATTAGGGTTAGGGTTTCGTCGGCGCTGCTCGTCTCTCTCCGACTTTGATTGGGATCGTGGTGGGGGTGTCTTCTCGGCGTGGTGGTTTGTAGTGGTGGTTTCGGGTTCGTGGGTTTTGATTGGGGTTTCTCGGTGTGGGTTCTTCCTTCACGTCAACCAAATCTCATCTTATTTCTTCTTCGATCAGCCCTTCACGCCTCTCATCCGATTCTCTTGGGCATTGTCTGGTTCTGGGGCTCCCCCTCGGCACTAGTTGTTGTCTTTCTCGGATGTTGTATTGGTTGTTGGGTCTATGTGGTCAAAGTGCGCTATTCTCTGTTGTAGGGTTTGGTGGCGCTCGAATTTTGGCAAGCGAGGGGGACCGTCACGTAAGGGTCCCTCGTTCTCTAGTGGTTTGGTGGTGATGGTTGTGGTAGAGGAGGCATTGTGAGTTGCTGCTGGTGCAGGTTGGGGGTTTCCAAGTGGTTGGCGTCTAGATTGTTCTGCACTCTCTGTTCCTCTCTCGCCGGGTTCTTTTATGCTGGGGCTTTAGGATCTAAGTGGTTTTCAAGAATCTACTGTTTTTGAGCAATTTTTCTGCATCGATGAGCTTGCTATTAAGGTGTCGAAGGACAACTTCGTAGGGTCCCCCAATTCTCCATGATGTGTTTATAGGAAAGTTTGTGGATTTGGCATCTGATAAACTTTCCCCTTATGATGTTCTTGTTGTGAATTAGTAACCAACTCACTCCCCTTTAGACCTTGTTGTTGATGGACTTTGGACAAGACTCAATGATGGATGAATCTTACACACACACACAGAAAATAAATCAAGCACAGATGACACAAGTGTTTATAGAGGTTCAGCAATTTGCCTACATCCTCTTTGCTGATCCCCTTGAGAAATTTCACTAATGAAGATAGGTTACAACTTTGGTTTACACAGAAACCCCCTTAGAACACTACTCTCACACCCTTGCTCACACCTTGATACACTTGAGAATTCTCTCTTCTACTTGACTCATTAGTTTCCAGCTACTTCTCTTCCAACACTATGCAGACTTGCTCCTTCTTCCTCTTTAATAGACAGGCCTTTGAACTTGAGAAAAGACTCCTTCTTTCCTCCCACGTTCTGCCCTTGGTTACCTAACTTGGACCACACTTGGGCAGACCAAAAGCTATACAATATAGGCTGCATGTTCAGCCACCCTATATAAAACCATAGGGTAGGTACTCTTTGAAACAAGTCAACAACTGTCCTTTAATTGCTCCCTCAACTTCCCAGCAGCTTGCCCCCTTCATTTAAGTCTGCAGTGACCTAAAATGACCTAGCAAGTAGGTAGGAAGCGATAGCACGTTAAAACACAAGTTGGATTTTCTCAGAAATCGAAACAGCACGTTCAAGGCGACCGGTCGCATTCTGGCAGAGTCGCAAGCTACCGGTTGCATGAAGCTGGCTACCGGTCGCCAAAAGTTTTCGCTCCAAACTTCAAATCTGCTTGAAAACGACCGGTCGCTTGCTTCGTGCGACCGGTCACTTTTAGGCAGAGTCTTCTGCGACCGGTCGCTTCCCATTCTGTCTCCGAAATTTGTATCCTTTATGCGAGCCAATTTTCACAACAGTTCTTCGGTTGGAAGTTCGTCAAGTTAAGAGGCCAATCTTGTTGTGGTCTTGTTTTATGTGTCTTTAGTTTATGTTTGGCTATCCTTTTGTTTTTCCCTGTTCTGTTGATCCCTTGCAGCTCTTCTCTGCTCTACGCCGACCGAAGAATTATGCTTGGTCATATGAGGTTTTCTATGACAGGTTCTGAGTTGAAATGGGGTGCTTCTCAGGAGTCATTTTTAATTTTATTTTTGTGTTTCCTCCTCCATGTTTCTCTCATGGTTTCTGCTCTTTGTATGACTTGCAGTTTGTGTTGGTGTCAAAGGACTATGAGTTTGCTTATAAAAGGCTTCTTTTGATAGTTGGGATGCTTTGCGACCCTCTTTTGTGGGTCTACTGTGCTGGTCACTAGTTGTGATTCTCGTCGGAGGTCTTTGTGTTAGTTTTCGTTTTTGTTTTGTTATTTTATTGTAATTCTCTTATTAGTCCATGACATGTGTGGTACTCTTTCCTCCCTTGGGGTTGTCCCATGTGGTTTCCTACGAAGGTTTTAACTAGGCCACTATATTGTGTCACTCTATATACGCCTTTGGTTCTATGAATGAATTCTCTTTCTCAAAAATGGAATATTTTACTTAAGGGAAAGATTTATAAATATTAGTGTAGCAAAGTTCTCAGGTAGCATTATTAGTGTAGCAAATAGTCCCATTATATCAATACCATTTCGATATGTTGATGATATTGTCTCATTATTTCGATAGAGAACATTCTTATATAGTCTTTGATATGACGTAAATTAAGTATCAATATTCTGTCGATTTGCTACAGTAATAGTGTTATGTGAGAACTTTACTACAGTAATGGCATGTTTATTAATCCGTAATTGGATTAGGAGGAATTGAATTGAGGAGGAGTTTGATTGAGGAGAATTAGATTCTGGATTCCTATTGAAGTCGTTTACTAAACCATATGGATTGAGGGGAGTTAGATCCTGGATTCCTATTGAAGTCGTTTACTAAACCATATGGAATTGGGGTATGAGTGATACTAATTACTAAAATGTCGTTGTTGAGTTAAAGTAGATGGCAAATTTGGAATTTTAACAATTATGTGAGAATATAATGGGTTAAAAAAAAAAAACAAAAACTCCTAATGGGTTAGTTCTCCAAGAATTAGAATATCACATCCCACCCAAGAATTGAATTCCTTCAAAATCAGGAATTCAATTCCTAATTTTGTGTGGGCCCCACTTACTTTTCAATTCCTTGATGTGAAATAAACACAGGAATTCTCCATAGGTTGAATTCAATTTATGATGAAAATTCCAATTCCTGATTAGTAAACACACCATCATAGTGAAATTGATAGTTTTTCCTTCTATTGAATTTGTCCAAAGGAAATCTATCCCCTAACAAAGGAGAAAAACCTAGTTAACTCTTCATCTCACAACATGAGAGAGAGAGAGAGAGACGGCAAGAGTGAGGATGTATTCCAATTTCAAAAATTTTCTCCTAACAAAAGGGCCAAGGACAGTGGGTCACCCATATATTGGCGACGTTCCCTTCAAAACGGTGGGTCATGGACCCAAATCAGAGCTTCGAGGCCCAGACTTGCAACTTGCTGGTTCTGTCTTTGCGCGTGCAACATTCCAACTCTTCTTCTATCGCCTCAGTCATATTTTCTACATCATTGTTATGATATGATGTGAGTCAACAATTATTAATATTCTAACAAGTAATCTAGACCTAGTGGAGCTATAGGTACGTAGATCCTGTGCAAAGTGAGTAAGGCTATGTTAAGACTCAGAGAATTAACCAAAACTCAGTAGAAACCAAGATGACTCTTCTTCTTTACAGCATGCATTAATCAATATATCCATTCGGTATATCCGTTTTATCAGCTGATTTTCTCCTCACGTAATATTCCATTCGGTATATCCAAAAAAATGCATAATATGCCCCACATGCAAATTACATTAAGTGGGGTAAATTACATGGAAAAACACTCACTTTACCAGAACCATTCAATCAAATTAATTATGATTATTTTTTAATTAATAATGATATATTGGGGCCAAATGACCATACAATCCAAACAGGTTGGTCGAAGAATGTAATTCCAATATGAAAATCCAAAGGGGTAGCTGTCTCTCAGTCCCTTTCTTCAAGAGTTCAAACATTTACGTGACACCATCTTGTAAACTATATATCTCACGTAATGTCCACATCTGCATGAAAATTGCACATATAATGCCTCCACGCCCACTTCACTTTTTCCAATACCAACTGTTTTCGATTGATATTATCGTTGCTTCTGTTTCTTCTCTCATCATCCAAGAAACAATGCTTTCTATGGAGAAAGAGTCAACGTTTCCTTCTTCAGCTTTGCAATTATTACCTCCTGGTTTCAAATTCCATCCATCTGATGAAGAACTCATTGTTCATTACTTGCGAAACAAAGTGATTTCGCATCCGCTTCCAGCGCAGTTGATCACTGAAATCGATCTCTATAAGTATAATCCGTGGGAGCTACCCAGTCAGTTCTGCAGCATTTACTCATTTAATTCCTCAGAGGGGTTGATCCTTCTATATGGATCATAGCAGCTAAATTTTTTTTATTTTTTATTTTTTTTCTTGCTTGGTTTTTGCAGAAAATGCTTTGTTTGGAGAAGATGAATGGTATTTCTTCAGCCCGAGGGACCGGAAGTATCCAAATGGGGTGAGGCCAAATAGAGCAGCAGCTTCAGGCTATTGGAAGGCTGCGAGCAGTGACAAGCCAATTCTCACCTCTCGTGGATCGAAGCACATTGGGGTGAAGAAGGCTTTAGTCTTTTACACTGGTCGTGCTCCAAAAGGAGTTAAAACTGAATGGATCATGAACGAGTATAGACTGCTTGACAATACCGCTAAACCATCAAGGTTAAAAGGGTCTATGAGAGTAAGTGGATATAATGAGATATTGAGATTGCATATATCCATATATGAATCTCAAAATAAATGTATCTAAAAATGATGGAGCAAACCACTTCGAGGGCCTTAGATACACATTAGTGTATCGAATACCAGAACCTCCTTGGTTAAGGCATAGACTTCTAATCAACTAACACGGTACTTTGTTTCACACTGTAAAAAAGGCTAGCGTCAGTCACCCACGTGCATGTGACTGATAACCGTTGATGGGAGTGACCTCCATCAACCGTTTAGAATTACGACACTCTAGCTAAGTCTTCACTCCTCATATTTGTGAAGCTTATAGAAGGTTTTCATGCTAGCCTAGGCTCCCTCTTAAATATTGTTCCCCAAGATTCAAGATACTCAATCTTGTGCAGACATATCGTACTTAAATTTGTGAAATAGCTATTTTGTTTTTTGAGTGGAACACAGATGGTAAAGAACCTTACCTGATTCCATGCTTCAATTTAAGTTTTCATGTTTTTTTATCACTTGGTTATGTAGTTCAGATATCAACTTTGATAAGAAAACTGTAATCTCAAAGGCAATTAAAAAAATGCTTCTTGTTGTCACAGTTGGATGATTGGGTACTATGTCGAGTTCAACAGAGAGGAAACAGATCAAAGAACACATGCAACAGTCAAGACAGCTATAGCACAGAATTTTGGAGGTACCTACCGAAAGTTGAGCAGACACAGCCTACATATGCAAACCTTCATGCTGATATTATCACCGATTTTCTATATAAAGACTGCCAACTATTAGCTTCCATACTTTCTGGTCAAGCTCCATCTCCAACAGAGACCAATTCAAGCATGAGCTTTCAAGGGAGCAAAGATAGCTATGAAGTTCGTTCAAGTAATATGGTAAAATCAACAATATCAATTTCTTCTTCGGGCATTGATTCCAACACACTAGAAATGAAAACTAGAGAAGAAAATATGAAAGAAAATCACTTTCCACTCATCAACAATCGAGAAAGCAAGAAAAAAGATGAGAATCTTCCACCTAGCAAGAGACCGACAGGCAACGCTATCAACTGCTACATCCCAAACCACTCCCAGTATGACCTACTCAATGCTCATCCAACCGATCCCACCAACTTTGAGGAGTTTAATGAAATGACCTTCCCAGGGACGTACTTCGAGTAATGAAGTAAACTCTTTGCAGAAAGCTATGTGTCCTCATAGAAAGGACACAGTCAGGAGGCGATAGCTTCAGGCTATACAGCATGAAATGTAAATAAGGTGTACAATGCATGGTATGGATTGGCCTCCAAGGCCGGGCAATGAATATAACCGAATCAGTAATCTGTGTATTTTCTGTCTAGTTAACTCTGTTTATGTGTATATGTGTATTGTCCTTACAATACTGGTGTAATAAATAGTCTTATGGCTATACATAAAAGCTTATGCTTGATCATGGGAAAAAATAAAAGAAAAAACTTTTCTGATGCTGTTATGTAATGTAAAGTAGAATTCTCAGTAATATCGGCCATTATTATATAAATTCAGTTCGTTTTCCTTTCATGGTTTTATCAATTCTTTACTTATACAGAAAGCAAACTTGACATCGTTAAATACTTCTGCAAAACACTTTTCCCTACTCACAGTACGGATTATGGTCATGATAACAGACTTTACGAAACATTTGTTGTACCAATATAAACTGATGCTTAATAAATTAATAGCATGATAAGTACAGACAGGAATAAATGAACCTAAACTACAAATTAAATTCCATTTTATCGAGAGAAAGAACCACTGAGTAAGAAATTATATAATAATCATCTTCAATTAGCCAAAACTAGTTTTGATAATTGAGGGCGTACTTGAACTGAAGATGCTAAAAAGTTATAAGGAAAGCCCAGGCAAGATATGGTCCAATAATAGCTGCTGATCGAAGCCTTTTGAATGCAATTTCATCTCAGTGCACTGCAAAAGAACAGTAGAATTCATTTGCTAAAGGGAAGACAAAATTCTAAGTACAAAATTAGGAAATACAGTTCAATAGTAAATAATGATGGATAGACTATTTGGTCTGCAGGAAGTCATAACAGCAGACGCCCATGAAAGATGTAGGAACAGTTCTAAAGCATATTCAGAAAACAGAACCTTTTCTTTTTATACTTCATAAAACCGACGAAATATATGTGTCATGACTATAAAATCAACCTAATGACTTTTAGTTGAATGTTTTACTAGACGTGTTCCAGAAGACAAATTCGTGTATCAATCTGAAAGAACGTTTCAACTCTACAGCTCCAAGGAAGTGCCTCTTAGCATTTGGGGATTATGAATTTACGATTTCTGAGTACATGCACAGAGCGAGATACTTACTTGTATATATAGAAGGCGATTCCGAGAATTATACACAACAAAATAATGTCAATGCAGAAATTTCGGCTCGACCTCACCTGCAAAAAGAAAAACCAAAAAAAGCAAAGGTTCTAATAATTATAACCCTGCCTGCATAATGTGAGAATTGGAACTGATCAGTAAGGTCAGCTTACAGATACCTTGTGAAGATTGTCCTTGAGCCTAACATTGTTACTCTTTATTTCCAATGTAACCTTGTCCACCTGTCAAGGCACCAAAACATTATCAGCAAGTATTGAACTTATAAAATGCTTGCGACATTATTTCTTCCAGATGTAATTGAGAAGACTAGGATTTCAGTGAGAGAATAAGCTCTCACTTTTGTATCTATTTCATCAATTAGTGGGACTTGCCGATCCAATTCCTGAAAATATTGAAACAATGATCAATCTCTAAACACTTCTAATGACAAAATGAAACAGAGGTATGTGAATCACATCCAAACCTCATTCATATCATGTGCCAAATTTTTCAGTGTTCCCAATCCTTCTGATATGACATCTAGACCTTCATCCTGCACAAATGACCAACTGAATCAAAAGAAGTGCAGAGTTATAGCATACCAGAGCTAGAGGCAACTGTATAACTAAATGATTCTTCTCTCTTCTCTGTTGATCACAGAGCAAATGTAAAAGAAACTAAATTAATTTTAAAAAATGTTACATACCTGTTTCATTTTACGCATTTCATACTCCGTCCTGAATTGATTTGATTCTTCATTTTGCTGGAAAAAAGCACTGTCAAAGTTCCCATCTGATTGGTAAGGAAACACACCAGTATTAACAATCGAACAAAAGGCCTTCATTGAAAAATATAACCACAAAACAGACAAAAAAAAGCATAAAAAACACTGATTACCTGATGAGTCGAATTTGATATTTTTATGAGATGCTGAAGTTAACCATCCCCCAGCTTTTGTGACTGCAGTTTCTGACCCATCTGGTATTTCTTGTATCCTCTCTGGTAGTGCAAGAACCAGATCATTGCGTGTTTCTAGGTCTTCTTTGGACAGCCCTTTAACCTGTTATTGTAAGGGATTAGGAATACAAATAAAACAATTCGTGTTATAAACTTGGAGTTTTTCAAACGTTTTCGGCCTGCAAAACAAACGAACCTACACAATGCCTTTAGAGATAACTCTGGTGAAAAAATCAACAAATCTAGGTTGAAAAGATAAAAGTCTAGTTGTGAGCATTTTAAAATATTGCCCATGATAGGCATGCATCCTCTTGTGATCAATTAATGATCAAGAGTTCATGCTCCGGCGTTGCAGGGCTGATGTTCTCAAGAATTCTTTGAGAAAATGGTTATCGCAGTTAGATGCTACTACCAAAATTATTAAGAAGACCTAATATGGGTTGGTTACGTTTGCAATTTCAGTTGTGAAAGCAAAATCCACATTAGTTGCCAAAAGGTGGTAAATATATTTTTGAAGCAAGGTAACATAGGTTGTGTCAATTGAGGGTAAATCATGAATAGGAGATATGAAATGGTAATATAGCCTAGAGGGAATTAACGAAACGAAGATGATATGAAGCCCTTAAGAACACCATATTTGCTCCAAGAATGCAGAGCTGGTAAAGTATGACAGAATAAAAGGCCTCCCAAGAAACTCATAGAAGCAAACACATATCAAGCAAGACGAGCAAATGCATGCCAAGTCATTAGAGTAGAGAAAATGATATATTCTAATCAACCCCTTAAGAATTCATCAAAATGGGGTTCTCTATCTGCTTGTTAATGTAGGACTTTATAGAGTCCCAATGCTTATGCCAATTGTTCCAGAATCAAAATTGTATAATAAAGAGGAAATGCAATATCCCTTGGGAGATATCTACCGAGGTTACAGTTGTCTCCTTTTAGCACAATCTCTAGACAACCGTATTCCTCCTCTCTGTCCTCCCTGACAAAAGTCTTGTACTTCCTAGTCTAGTTCCTTCTAGATTCTGCTACAGTAACCCTATGTCTTTGAAGATGATTGTTTTGTTTCATTACTACAAGAAACACTCTTGTTTTGCTTATCTTGTGAATCATTTTCATTGATAGACCCACGGTAACGTCCAGCTCAATCTACACCACTTTTCCAAAACCAAGAAGCTATTGACTTTGGAGATAAAGCCAGCTATCAGATAAGAATATGACATCAATTTGGAGCTATTATCACTCAGTTCATCCGTACACACAATCTCAATCGCACCCCATCATCCATTGCAGAATTAAATTTTCATAAAATGCGACCCACCAAATCATATCTTATCACACATCTTTCATAAAAAAAAGTCAGCTTGCACAAAAAAAAAAATATTAAATTCCTAAATTTAAAAATCAATGAACAGAGATTTGATTTCACCTTCCTCTGAGCCAATTTGCGCAGCTTAGGAATTTCCTCCATCAATCGAGCTTTGGTCCGACGAATCTCGACATTGGACGCCACCGCCAGAGCCCGATTAGTCTCGGTCGCAGCCTTCTCGGCTTTCTGCACATCCCAAAACAAATTCAAACTTTTCCTGCATATTCTCGGCAACCGAATGAGGAAACAGGAAGCTAAAAAAACCTGGCGAGTGGCTTGGATTTCGTCGTCGAAGCGAGCGTAGAGACGAGCGAAGGCATCGTCGCCGTGAGGGTTGAGGTCGTGCTGCTTCTCGATGTCGTACTTGTCGTATTTCTTGCATATTGAGTCGACTCGGGAGAGGATGTCGATGACGCTCATTTTCGTTTTCTCCCAGAGTGAGAAGAGAAGATCGCTTCGTTAGAGAGAAGGAGAGGGAGAGAGAAACTCTCTCGTCTCGTTCAGGCATTGCGTTTCTCTCTCTTTCTGCGCCTCTGAATTTTCGGACGGTTTTTTCCATTTTTCTGGAGAACCAGGAAGTAAGGAAGAACGCGACAGCCTGGACTTGGTCAACTATCTTTTTGGCGGGGACACATCCCATTGGCCATTTCCGTCTCCCTACCCGGTCTTTTTTTTGGGGTCAAATTCTACCCGGTTTTATTTTTTCTTCTTATTGCCATCTTGTTTTTCTTTTGTTGGGTCCTTATGCCAGGCCCAAACTGGGCTAAGAACAATCAAATTGCAATGGCCTAGCTCTGAGTTCCTATCTTTTAACCGTTTGATCAAAAAACTAATTTATTTTGAGATAGGGCATCACTATAGAATTCTTGCAACGAACTTAGCCAAATTATTTTGAGAATGTAACAAAAAAGAATTTGTCAGTTAAAGGGGGAACGAACCCAAAAATTAAATTAAATTAACTAACAAAAAATACTTCGAGCCGACATTTGGCCTAATTTATTATCATCCAAAATAAGAGCCAAAGAAGTAGGAAGACATCAAAACTACACAAATCCAAAGACAAATTGTGCCCCGTAATAACAGCAAGATAATCAGCAACAAGGTTCTACTCTCTAAGTTAAGTAATAGCTTGATATTGACGTAATTTTTCGTTCATTCGAGTATTTACCCACACTTATCTTACTATAATTTTTTGCAAATTTAGCTAGTTGTTGTTATGTATATATTAATTGGGTATTCTTCCCATTAGTTTTCATTCCTACCAACAATTGGCAGCATGGAAGCAAGATTTGCAACCTCATTTATGAATAACAAATTTATGTGAGCATAATGTCATATAGGGGTGTACGTTAGTTCGAAATAGGGATGGCAATGGGTCGAATCGGGGGTGGGTATGGCATTCCCATCCCCATCCCCGTTAAGCTTTTTTCCCCCATCCCCGCCTTCATACCCGCAATATTCATATCGGGGATTCCCCATCCCCACCTTCGTTGGGGAATAGGTTCCCTGACCCTCCCCATTACGGAAGAAAAAACCAATATATAACTACTTTGTTGAAGAAAAAAAAAAAACTAATTCAAGATAATAAATATATATAATATATACTTATAAGACAATATAAGAATGTTTATATATGTATTGGAAATTAACTAAATAAATAAGTAGTGTGGCTTAAGATTTGTATAAATTATATAAGTATATAATATAATAATATAAAATATAAAACTTAGTCGGTATCGGATGACGAATATGCTTATGAGAATCCAGTCAAATCAAATCAAATTCAATCTAGTTAGTTTTATGCTTATTTTGCTCTTATAGGTATTTGTAGTTGAAAAAGTTATGAATATTTTAAGTCATTTAATGGAGTTATGTTTAATATATTATATAATCAAAACAATTTTCTCCAGTATTTACATTTACGTATATTAATATGTTTGATTAGATTAAACCTAAGGATAAATGTTTAATATTTCACTATTATCTTTGGGTGGTGCTAGAGGCACCAACTTTGGGCACCACCTTGGGCACCAACTCTCTAATAGATCGCGGGACCCGTTGTATTGGCCGGCTCCGCCTCTATTAGAGAGTTGGTGCCCAAGGTGGTGCCCAAAGTTGGTGCCTCTAGCACCACCCAAAGATAATAGTGAAATATTAAACATTTATCCTTAGGTTTAATCTAATCAAACATATTAATATACGTAAATGTAAATACTGGAGAAAATTGTTTTGATTATATAATATATTAAACATAACTCCATTAAATGACTTAAAATATTCATAACTTTTTCAACTACAAATACCTATAAGAGCAAAATAAGCATAAAACTAACTAGATTGAATTTGATTTGATTTGACTGGATTCTCATAAGCATATTCGTCATCCGATCTAATCATGTCGGTTTTGAAAATTACTGATCCAATCCAATCCGCTAAATCATCAAAATCGATTGAAATTGAATTTGATTAGATTGGATCTGTCAGTTTGAACGGATTGGATTGGATCTTGTACACCCCTAGTACCATATAGGGCTATTTTTTATTATAAGGGATTCTTCTAATTAGTTGTCATTAGTATATTAATTCCAAGAATTATAGTAGGAATTTAAACTTCTACAAGTTTGAATTTCTTTTTATTTGGACAAAAGAAAGAAAAATGTAACCTTGTAAAACCTAAACAAAAGGAAGATATGAATTAAAAATATAAAATCCGGGAACAACACAAAAAACAAACCAGGAACTTTTTTTCTTCTTTCCAAATCCTGTTTTTAGTTTAATTTTTAAATTCGGACACATCCAAAACTATTGGATTCTCAACCATTCCATGTACCACTCAAATGAGAAAAACAAGCAAACACAGCCATCGCCTTGGATCAGAGGTTGTGGACGAAGCTCATGATCCTCCACGCTTTCCTCATTCCATATGGAAAAATCATGTTCCAGATTTGAAACTCCAAGGGCCTTGCTACTTTTTACTAAACACATAAGAAATAAAAAATTATGTGTTTCTCGTTAAAATATGTAATCCAATACCCCTCAAAATTAGGAAGAGGACTAAGAGAGTAATTACTCGAATTCTAATTCTAATTCCCTAATTCTCATATTCCTAGGTTTTCTTTATTTATAACTTTTCCATTCCCAATAAGTAAGCATGTCTTCCTATTCCTATTCCTATTCCTATATGGACTCAGTGATATGCTTATAAATACCACACATCTCTTGCCCTAGCCTTCTTGTCCCATCAAAACCTTAAGCAAACAATAGAGAGAAACAAGAACTACTCCACTTGATCCACCATATATTAGCATTAATGGCTGATTCGCGTCATGTGTCGTTAGCATTCCGCTTCCACCCCACAGATCAAGAAATCATCCGTTCCATTCTTTACAAGATGGTGGTTGAGAGAGAGCCTTTGAACACGACATACAAAGGCATTGTTCATGACGAGGACCTCTTCGGCACCAAAGAACCATGGAAGATATGGGAAGATTATGGAGGAGACCAACTCTATGATCAAGACTTGTACTTCCTATGCCAGCTCAAGAGGTTAAACTTCAGTGGTTCGCGTACCCATCGCAAGGTTGGCTGCGAAGGGTCCTGGAAAGAAGGAGTTGCCTCCAAATTGGTTTACGATGGAAACGCTAATCCTATTGGTAGAATAAGACAGCTTCGATATAAGAATCCAAAGTCGGAGCACCACGGTGGGTGGTATTTGGATGAATATAGCCTTTTTGTAGGTGATGATGGTCATGATCAAACTACTCCTGGTATTAATTTTGTGATTTGTCGATTGAGGAAGAATCATAGGTCCAGCAGACTAAGAGCAGGTGTGGATAAAAAGACCAATAAAGCACCACAACAAATAAATGAAAGTAAAAGAAAATCAATGAATGTGATTATCAATATTGATGATGAGGAAGTACCACATGGATGCTCAAAAAACGCAAGAACCCGAGAGAGCTTTAGAAAGAGAGGCTCCTTCTTCTCTCCAGAATTTCTCTCCTTCCCCACCGCCCTCTTTTGAGCAGTTGGTGGCTATGCCGCCGCCCTTTAGGGCGGCACCTCTGCCACATATGGTGTGGCTTTTCCGCTTCCCTCTTTTGTAGCTTTTCCTTTTCTTTTTTCTTCTGTTTGTTTTGGATTGCCCTTCCTCCCTTGATTTTCCAGATGTTGGCCCGGATCTCCTTCACATCTCCTCTCCCATTACTCTTCAGTCATTACACCTCCCTCACCCTCTTTTCCCCTCATCCACTCACCCCCAATTAGTCCACTTCTCTCCCATCCCACAAAATCTCAAACCCTAAAATCCTCATATTTCCTTAGGATTTTCTTGGTTGTCTACTGGCTTGCTGCAGTTGCTTCTACCCTACCACCCATTTTGATATGGAGGTGTGGCTCTATAGTTTAATGATCAAATTGACCAATCCCTTGGTCGTTTGAACATGATGCATGTTGGTGGCTTTCTCCCCCCAAACCCACACTATACAGATCCCTTTTGTTGGCTCCCATGGACCTTCTTAATTGCTTTCAACAGAAATGCAACTTTTTGGTGGAGTTTTTTATGCAAGGCCAATTGGAGATTGAAGCTAAGACCTTGAATATGCTTGTGGAAGTTTTATAAAATTTTCGTAGCAGCAAATGAGAGCAGTCTTTCAACTCAAGTCAGCATAAGTTACAATCCCGTCAAAACTGTGTTGCTGTGAGAGAATGAATATTTGCAGACTTTCCCAGTTTTTCCTCAAGGTGTGCGATATATGGTTGAAAACTAAGACAAATAGCTACAATTTACATATTGTTCCAGATTTGTTCAAAAGGTTTATTAGCCCCAAAACATGTGTGCTGAGCAGCTGATGTGTTATTCCAATCAAAGTAGGAAGATGAGTCAATTACTTACTGATGCAACGAGTTTAGCAAATATACACATGGACCATTGGGATCGCATTCATGCATGAGGAAAGTCTTAATAACATATACTAAATAAGTGTCTCTTCGTATTTGGGAGTTATCTTGGATCATGAATAGAGGAAGGGGAGTCTTTTCATCTTTGTTAGTTATGGGGAGATATAAAGTGAAATTACCATTAGGAGGGAAGTTAGGATAGGAAAGGTTTAGGAGAGTTATGAGGAGTTATCTCATCATAATTTTCTAATCTTATCTTATCTCATTGTAGGGGAGTTGTGAAGAGTTATCTCATCTTGATTGAGAGGCTCCTATAAATAATGCATGAAATTGTAAGAAAGGAAGCGTTTGATGAATCAGTTTATGAATTAAAATTTGAAAAGAACTTTTTCTTTTTCTATCAACTTGGTATTCCATGGGAATCAATAAGGCACAGAGCCCTTTGTTCTTGGCTATTCTCATCAAGAGAATCAACAAGGATTAAAGGTTTAATTTTTTTATTTCTTTGCCAACTATGCCTGCTGTCACTTACCTATTGAGAATTTATGTTTTAATTAGGTTTCTCTTTATTTTTAGGCTGCTGTAAAAACTCAGCTAGGTAAGGAATATGACGTGAGGTGCTCTATTTAAGCATGGAAAAATCTTCTTCCAAAGAGTTATGCAAGACTTGGAGAAATTAGAGAGTGCCGAAAGAGTGCCGCAACTTTGTGAGGGTCTTTTTTTTTTTTTTTTATAATGTTTTTGCTTATGTCGAATT